CTTTAGTTTCTGGTATCTTCAGCAGCTGTACTACGTTCTACCTATGAAATATGTCTATCAATATCAGTACGTGGATCATTCCTATCTGAAAGTTGCTCAAGGAAAAAAAAAACTGTACTAAACAAACACATACAAATAAATGATACTAGGATTCTTGAGTTTTCACGGAACCGGAAGTATTGCTTTTTGTTAATGGCCATTTCTTTCCTATTCTCTTATAATGCTGGAAATATCCAGGAATGGGGTGGTGAGTTCTACCAGCAATTTCCCTTTGTGTGAATAGAAACAGTACATTCTTTGTGATCAGACTGAGACTTTGCAACTCCCTTTTTCCTTGACACTTCTCAAGGAGCTAACTGATTCTCTGCTGTGCTCCCACAGTATTCTCCAAATAGCTCTTGTATATCACTGATTATACTGCATTATTGTTGTAATTCTTGGTTTATCTATCTTTACTCTACCAAACTGAATTTCTTGAGAAGAGGGAATAGGTCATTTTCTCTGTGTACTTCAGTTGCTCAATGAATTATATGAGGATTTGTCTGGTTAGTTAAATATTTACCAAAATTAAGATCATAAACTGTAGGGTGGGCCTACAGTATTAGCTAGTGAACTAATGAATTCTACCTCCTATCAATTCAGATAGACAGAATGTGTACAATGTTCAAGTATTCCATGTTAATAGAATTAGGGAGAAAAACAATAACAAGCTAGCATAAGTCTATTTTTAAACTGGTCCCCATGAATATGACTTTAATTTTTAATAGACAAGCTTATAAAATATAAGTGATTAAAAAGGATTTTTGAGACATGACCAAATTAGAATAATTACCTTTGAATTGTGTTTATTTTCTCTTCATCATTTCCTTGATCCATTACACAGACCCAGCGATCATAGAGATCTGACGAAAAAATACTTCCTGGAATATTTCGTAGAAAATCCTTACATAGATGAAAAAACAAATATTTTAAATCATTATTCTCATGCCAAATATGTATTAGAGGAGTCAGAAAGAAAACATTTTGTTGAAAAGTTCAGTTAAGTCCTCCCTTCTGCGAACTACACAGAGCTCTGTGCCAATTCTCCACTGACTCGTGAACAAAGAAACACAGGCTTTGATTTTTTTTTTTTCTAACAAAAGCCACTGGGATAACTGAAGTCTGGATTATGGTAGGGTAGATAAAGGACAACCTATTTGGTTGGACCCTCCTGTTTGCACACATTTTAGCAAACTAGTACAACATGACAGGGTCTGGCAGTGAACCATTCTAAGTCCTCTTTTTCCCCCTTTCCCTTAAATGGCTAGTTCAAGGAAATGTACCAAGATATCTGTGAGGTTCATAATGTGGTAATCATTAATTCAGTCATTCTATATGTGCTTATTCATATGTGCCAAGCACTGCTTGAGGTACTAGGGATAGAGAAGTGAATCCAACACAGTCCCTGATATCTTAGAACTTTATATCCCAGTGGTATTGGTGCACAATTGCATCAAGGGGTACTTAAGGTTTTTCCTTCTATTGTGTGTAGAAGGGCTCTCATATATTTGGGGAGAGAAAGCATTCCAGGTGACAGCTGGGATCTGGGAACTTGAGGCAGCACCCCCATGCCTGAGGTACACTAAGTAACATGTCCACAGTACATTATCCTTTCTTGGACACCCTATTGTGTTGAGACCACTGGTGGGGCTGACTGTGCTGAAACCAAACCATGACACAAACAGGATATGACCAAGGGCATTTGTTGTTTGGCTTTTGTTTATAAAAAACTTAAAAGTAAATTTGGTCCTGGTCTTAGACAGTTTATTCTAGGCCAACTCTCTCTGT